GCCGCAGGCTCTGGCTCTCGGCCTCCTCGCGGCCCAGCCTGGCGCGCAGATGCTCCCGTTCTGTGTCGAACTCCGACAGCTGCTTTTCCATCTTGGCCTCCATCTGCTGACTACGCTGCCGCTCGGTGCTCAGCTCCTCCTGCAGCCGCCCAGAGGTGCGACTCTCCTCATCTAGGCGAGCCTGGAGTTCATCAAATCGCTGCGACTCCTCTACAACCCGCGTGGCAAGCTGCTTGCATTCACGCACCAGCATCATGACGATGTGCTTATTCTTCTCACGCTCGTCCTTCAGCTGTGCAGTCAGCTTGCGGTGTTCCTGCTCCAGACTCTGGAGCTGTAGCTTCTCCATCTCCAGCTGGAAGAAAAAATACACACAGTCATCTGGGCTTAGTAGACCCACACAAACACACAACCTTTACCTGGTACAGAAATGACTAGTCAGTTAATCAAATAGGTAATGGGGAGACTATTACTTCTAATCAATTCATTGTTGAAGTCATTTACTGGCCGAAAAAAAAACCACTTTCATTTTCCAACTCCTTAAAGATGAGACCTTCCTAATCCACTGCAATCAATGAATACTGAGTCATTCGTTAGCCACAAAGCTAACTTGAGCCCCACCAGTTTTCTAAAGGAGACCAGTCAGATAAACAGTCAGGAAAGGTAGATAAATAAGCGGAGACATTTCATTAATCCATGCAATGGCTTAGGGAAAAAGTATGTCTATGCACAGAGACACAATCTCTTCACGGCTGAATTTTGATGACTTGTCAAAGCCTCTATATCTGGAGCGTTGCTGCTATTGTTAGCTCAAAGCTGGCTGCACAGAGGGTAACAGGGCTTAACTGGGCTTCTCCACCCAGCTAGCAAAACTCCATCACTCTTACAAGTCTCAGAGGAGTGTACATCCCACGACCCCCGTCCCGAAAGAGACTCCCTTCCTTCCCCTGCTCCTTACATCAGGGAGTACATATCACTGCCTGCTGATGCTGAGGAGGAGTGACAGGTTCATAAGCAAGAGGGAGCCCTGCCAAGGGAATGCCAGTTGTTACTCAAAAGGAGGTGCTATGACTAGCTGCTAATTGGGTGCGGATCATGTCTGCTGCAAGTCAGCCTAATGCCACTGAAGAACAAATTTAGGGATGCTGTGAAGGTGGTGACACACTGAGCAGCTAAGATTAAGCATAGCCTTCTTATAGCTTTATTTAGACAGGATGGTGCTCAGCATCTGCCTCACATTCATTCAGCTCCACACATCCACACTAGGACCAGTCATCACACAGCAGCAGCCAGATTGCTTCGTCTGAGGTGTAAGTGCAAACAGAGTAATGTTTCTCCCCTTTTGAATCCAAGACAGGGATCTGAAATAGCTGTAATCTGAAACTTTCAAGCTTTAGACTTTAAATTCAAGGTCTTCTTCTGGCCATGTCTAACCAGACAGCACAACACTAGCCAGCTTGGAAAGTTCTCACAGTAACTGTCATTTCTGCTCCGTCCTCACACTTGCAAGAGAATTACCTCAGCACAGTGATGACAGCTACACATAGAACCTCTATGTAGCAGTGACCCACTGTTTTGTTTGCCAAGACAAAGCTCCCATGATATGGTTTTCTTTAGGTAATGTAATTTAGCAGCAGAATGAAGTTGTTAACCTTCTTCACCGCATGTGCAGCAGAGTACGTCAAATCTTTTCTCACACTTGTCGCCCATATGCATAAGCTCATTGTGCTGCTATCGACACAGTGAAACAATAGACATTAACCTGCTGAAGAACATTTCAAACCGCTTTAAGAGCTCAGTCCTCGCACATGAAAAGGAACCAGCTCATCTTGAAGCAGAATGAAGCTGCCTATTCAGCGACAGTAGAGCACTGGGGACGAGAGAAGAAGCCAGCAAAGGAGGAGGCCTGAGGACTATTTTGAGAAAAAGGAATTTCAGCTCCGGTGGTCGTGGACGTGCTTCCTGCTGCACTTTTACCTCCAAAAACCAACAGTGATCCTTCGTCACTGCTGTGAGTGTTGTCGCTGTAGTGGAGGGGAGGGGCAGTTTCCTCCAAATTCATGACTGATTCATGGAGGAGGAGATAAGTGAGTGGGGGGGTTCATTATACTCGTGCATGGAATCAAAGTGTGCTGCGTACAACTGCCTAAGACCTCATGGATAATTCAGCAGCTTACTCACGGGAGAGTGACAAGAGTGGAAACGGGAGGAGGGGGTAAAGATAGCACAGCCAGCCCGATGAAACTCGCTCTACCCAGCAACTGAGCACACCGAGCCTGTGTGGTTTTGTTGCTGTGTCACTGCTCATTTTTAAGGTTCCAGTGAAATCGCAAACTCCTGCCTGACGAGGTCGTACCCAGTTGTTGATGGTTTAGGCACAACTGTGACACTGGGATATATGTGGAGCTAACAAGGGTAATTGGCTGCTTTGTGGTGGCTGTCTCTACTTTTACCCATATTCTCAAGGTCAAATGAAACAAGAACTCTCAAGAGGAAAGTTGTCTTGCAGAGCTATGTTTCTGGTCAGTGTTGACAGTGGCTACAGAGAAGTGGTAGTTGTTTCCTTTTGAGTGTCATATCTGAAAACCAAGCTCTGAGAACACAATATGTCCGAGTCCACTTCACCATCAACCCCGGACATGTCCACACTGATGGGACACCTTTCTGTCTGAGCCTTCAATGTACAACATCTGCATAACCCCCAAAACAGCACTCTCCAAATCAGAAACCTGGTCTTGTTGTAGAATGGAAGAGAAAAATGAAACAGACTTCACAGACTTGGTGAAGTGGAAGAAATGTGAACTTCCTGATAACTCTCTCTGGGTCTTTTCATTTTTATTTCTCAATAAAAAATAAAATAAAAAGTCAGAAATGTTCCTGTACTGTTGTGTGAACTGGTGAAAATCCTGGTGAGGACAGATCCTGTTTGACCAGAACAGTTTGTGGATATGGTTTTAAATCTGTTTCCAAAACGATCATGGCCCCAATTTCATTGTGGCTTTACAGAACCGTTAAACCACTTCCCTCAGTCAATTCCATTCCTCCGTTCAACTGGAACAAAGGCAAACATCAAAATATACTGTATGTTATAATGTCTTTTTGCAGCTCCTGTGCAATACATTGTCTTTCCCCATTTCTTTTCCATGTGTTGCTACACTTGCTTTTTGTTCCTTTTAACCTTCAACACAAAGCAGAAGGTATCAGCTGATGCAGGTCCTCAGACATACAGTACCATCCTACCAAGCTCTGGTAGCACTTGGCAATTTCTTTTTGATACCCAGTGTCTTGAAGGAACCACAGTGAGTGGACACAAAGTGTTTTCCCACCACGGGGACCTAACGAGCAGTAACCTGAAGCTTCTCGTAAACCTCATAAACATGGAGCCTGAGGGGCTGACGTTCCAGTTTGCTTATCAAATGTATTTCCCCAGCGTCTGTCGAGGCTGATCTCCTCACACACAGCTGAGCAGAGACCAAAGTTCTCCTTAATCACATGTTTTAAAAAAAAAAAAAAGTCAGCCAGTTATGGAGATGAGCAGCATCTCAACCAGTTGTTCAACAAGCAAATTACAAACTGGCTGTTAAGCCTGCAGTCAACTGACTGAAGACTCCCCCTCCAAACCAATGAGTACATGTTCACACACACACTGTGCTTGTTATGCTAATACTTGATATACTGTATAATGATGTTGAAGCTTAACTAATAACAGACAGGCAATCAGCCCTGCGAGCTCCTGGAACATGATTTTAGTCCTACCACCTGAGGGGTGCTGAAATTTAGCTCCAGGAACTCATCTCTAAAGCAGGCGGAGGTCAGTGGAGACAAAAGCATAACCTGGGAAAAGGGCTCCACGCTCTGTTACTACTGTGGAAAACGCCTGAAACACACTCAAGCAGACCGAAATCTGAAATACTGTACATTCATTCACATGTGATGAGTGGAAGCAAACTCACACTTCCACACACTAAACCGCAGCCCCGAAATCTATGTAACCAGCTTTCCTGTCAAAGCAGCCAACTCCTACCTCTCCCTTCCTTTCCCTCCTTCCTTCTTGCATGTGTGTGGGTACAAAGCTTCCACTGACTCAAAACTAGATCATCTCTGTTATTATTATAGAGTTCAGGGACAGGACACTCACTCACACGGACACAGTGTGTTTTTATTACTCACCCACATTCGTTCTGCCAGCCTCACATACAAATACTTTCACACATTAATGCTCCTCAACACAGAGGAGGAGAGAGACGTGGCAGACATGTGGCTGCCCAGTTAATCAGGGCCACATAAACCTAAAGAGACCTGGGACACACACAGAGACACACAGAGGTGGCCTTCAAAAATAGAAATGGCACACCAGAAACAAGGAATTTAGTTCACACACTGGTATCTATCCCCCATGTTCATATAATACCCAAAACAAGATTTTCATTTCTGGTTTTGGCAGGTTCTGAATTCCTTCACACCTTAGATGCACTTTGACATCAGTGCTAACAGCAACACAGTTAACACAATGGGATTAATGTTGAAAAGCAAATGATGTGCAGTATAAGTTCAGAGGTTGTCAAACACAGCAGCACAGGCTCTATGTCTATGTAGAAGAAATACACTGGCCCTTCGGGGCCCACTTCTTTCCACCGCTAGATTTTAAAATGCTATGTAGGATTGCAAAGTGCTTTAACAAACACGTGTGCTAGTTGGAAAGGACAGTTTAACTGATGATGGGCAAAAACTAATAACATTTTCATCTGGGGACTGAAATGGTCCCTTCACATCAATACAGATGATGTTTCACTTTCACAGTCCACTCAAACAACACTGCCCCGTTGTGTCTTACCCTCTTTTGGCGGCCCCAGGCCGCAGCCAGCTGGGCTGACATGCGCTCCTGCATCTTCCTGCAGTGGGCCATCACGGCCTCCAGCACAGAGATGGGGCTGGAGCCCAGGGGTCGCCGCTCCTTGTCTCCTCTGGGGACCCCACATTCAAAGTCCCTCTGAAGTGCCAGGAAGGGGTCGGTCAGGCTGTAGTGGCTGTAGCGCTCCTGGAGAAACACCTCCTTCCTCTGAGCCTGAAGAAAGAAGAGGTGGGGACAAAATGTTATGCAACCTGTTCACTAACTGGATTTCAACAGCCATTTGGACTAAAAAGTTGAATTAGCATCACAACATTATCTTTAAAAGCTTCCATCTTCAGAAGGTGCATTTTGAAACAGGGTTATCCCTGTATCTCAGTGAGCTGAATAAATACGTTTCAGAAATGACTCCTGATTAATTCCACTATTAGTTTCTGTGTGATACGCTGTGAAGCAGTATGTCAAGACTCAGCAGCAAATAGCACTGCAGTCACAAAAATGAATATGACATGTCTTAATTATCTTTACATTTTGGAACAAAAATATTCTATTATTCTTAGTTCAATTTTTGTTAAATCTCTTTTTTTTTGGTCTTGTAAAATTGACAGCCATCAGGGGACGAGTAAATACCACTGTGTTTAAGGGGTCACCAGCCAAAAAGGTTGGGAACCAAGAAGACCCTTTGAACATGACGTCTATTAGGCGTCGCTGTCGGCACCAGACCTTTCATTAATGGGCAAACATGCACTGACTGCCCTTTCTTTAGGTCACACTCGCATCACACAGATGATCAGAGAGAAAGCACATCTGCATGGCGATTACGAGCCCCTGCCCCAGGCCTCCACAGTTCAGCCCACCAGGCCACAGTGTGGCCCCTGAAGCCCCCACTACTCAGCCCTGCCCGCTGTGAGACCGCCTGCCTGACTCCACAAACACTCAGCGCTGCAGCAGACAGGCAGCTCTCGGGTTACACACAGATGGAGACAGGTGAGAGCAGGAGACTCGTAGCGTGATCACAAGAAACTGTGTGCCCCACAGCAGGCGTGGTGGATTCGTTCTAAAGCTAAACTGAGCATGTGCCAAATGCTGAAAACTGCCCTTTTTAACTGGACGAACCTCAGCTGACTCCAACTGTGACCACGGCTCAAACATTGTCCAACTTCACAGCTGCAGCCTCAACTGTTTATCCTTCACCACACAGCTCTGACGTCCACGAGCATGTAAATAAAATGACGCTTAGCAGATGAATCGAAAGTCCAAGATGGCAGGCTTTCCGAACGGCACGTGAAAGCAGCATAACGGTTACGACCAACAACAGAAAGAAAGAAAACAGCAAACTCATTATTTGTCTGAGAGTTACAATGTTTATTATCAATACTGGTCTGGTTTTACACACTGCACTCCCTGGACCAGACCAGTTAAAGCAATAAGTTATGTATCCAACAAGTGGCTGTGATATGAACTGGCTGTACTGTACATAAAGCAGCTGTGTCACAGCTCATGCAAACGGCTCCTCCTTCTCCTTTTGGGTGAGAGTTGACATCCTTCCCCTGTGGCCCCACACAGCAGCTGTGACACTACTGAAACACAAACCTGACAGAGACAAACGTAGACAACAGCAGGTCCTCTGATGTTAGACATGAGACTATGTTTTGTTGCACCCAAATATTATGCAAATATCTAGACTGAGAACAACAACGTATAAGCAACACACGCTTACACCTACAGTATATACAGTAAAGAGTGTAGAGTTGTACTGACCTGTATTTTCTAAATGACCTCTTTAGTTGCTTCTAAAAATCTTTTTGCTTAATAATTTAGTTAGTGGCAGAAGATGTGTGGTAATTATTTTGGCTGCTCAATAAGAGCCCCCTCCAAAAAGTTAATTTTGGACCCTGGTTTGATACCACAATAACAGATTTATAACCCACCAGCCTCGCACTCTCCCAGCCAGGTTTCAAGATCAGATTCTGTGGATCAGTGACTGGGATCAAGGTGCTGTAAAACCCAAGCTTGTGCTTTAAGCACAAACTGCAGTGCAGCACAGCTCAGTAACATCAGCTGCGCCAAACCTGCTCTTATTCCTACTGACCACAACCAGATGACCACTCACAGTCAAATAATACCCTACCAAAAACCGCTTGGCTGCAGTAAAGCAGCTGCACGGTGACCAAACCGTCTGACCACAAGTCAGAGTAATAACTCAGGGGAAAAGCTGAAACCTCCAGCTACAAATTCCACACAAACACAAGGACAGAACTCAGAGTATGTGAAGGCTACAAGGATCTCTTCTAATATGAAGGTAATAAGCATCATCCTCCTCTTATCTAGTAAACTATGCAAGTGGACTCATTGCTCAAACACTTTTTCTTTCACAATGTCAAGTGCCGGTGTGGAAATAACATTTTCAGGAGATTTTATTGAAAAGAGTTAGGATTCATATCTACCAGCAACAGAAGGTTGGTGAGGGAGGAATATTTAATAACTGGGCACAAGACATTTAAATTAAATGTGGAGGCGAGAAAAGACAAAGAGCCAGAGTGTGAGAGGCTGAAGAACAGACAGCAGGGACAAAGGAACAAACGGCAGGAAGGTGCTGCGCGACACTTTGCCAAAGAAGGAGACGGAGTTTGGACAGTCAGACAATACACACACTCACAAGCGCACACAAAGAGCGCAGAGCGGGAAGACTGATGGTAGATCCCAAGAATGAGGCAGGTCTCGATGCTGATGACTGACTGTGAGCGGGCCAATGTAAACACAGCACAGACGAGAGGTAGGTAGGTGTGTGTGTGTGTGTGTGTGTGTGTGCATGGCGCAGAGAAAACAGAAACACAAACAGACAGAGAAGGATTTGGAAACTACAGATGAAAAGATTAGAAAGACTGGAAAAGGCAATTAAATCGAGAGCTGGAAATTCTCTGTAAATATCTTTTTCTTTGCAATAAACACACACACACACACACACACACACACACACACACACACACACACACCTTTCTCTCCAGTCAACCATTAATCACCTTGCAAACATTTGAAACTCACTAAACTAAATAGCTAGCTGCACTACTTAGAAATAAACTGACTCAATTTATCACCCAGTCAGAACCAAGAGCTGAACTACGGCTGCAGCGAACCTCAGAGTGAAAACTGTCTGCTGCAGTTAATAGGCCGACACCGTTTTGTCCAACCGACACTTCAGAACTAACAAATCACCGATTGGCTTTCACAGAAAAACATCATCGTTGCTAATGACTGCTGGGTATCTTTGCTCAGAAAACTGAATTCAAACAATTATTTATCAAAGTAGTTTCTCAGGTCAACAGACACGGTACACGCCTCCCCTGTGAGGCAGCAGTGAAGGCGCTGTGTGCACCATCTGAAGAGAAGCTCCACACTAAATCAACAGGAGCGATGCGGTGCCATCTTCAAACTCCCCTTCATCCCCCAGGATCTCCCTGTAAATATTTACACTGAAGCAGAGACATCGCGGCCGTCAGTGAGTCAGCTGCTGCTCTGCACATCCCCATCAAATCATTACTGGGCGACACTGAAGGGTTTTGGTTGTTTAAGTGTATTGGTTAGTATTTACAGAAATGAAAAACATTTTAAATGCTGCGGTATCACCATTAAACACCAGCTGCCATCACATAGACCTTTGTTTAAAATCCAGCCACTCTCAACTTGTCGTCCAGGTTTTTCTCTCTTTTTGAGGCGATACATTTTTAAAAGAGTTAAAAGAACCTCATTTCACCACATTATGTCTTGTTCTTCTCTAATTATTAGCCTTGTATTTTAGTGCTGTTTATCCAGTCACTTCATTGCTTCACTATGCCAAAGATCTGACAGAGGTTATTTAACTCTGAACTCATAAAAGACAGGTTTCTGAATATCACCTGCTTCTCTGTCTTATTTCTTACACAGTCGGCATCCTCTCATGTACACTCAATTGTTTAATGTTGCCTTTGCAAAGAAATTCTTCAAGTAATGGAAGTAATGCAACCCAGACTTTAATGAGCGTTGTCAGTAAATCCAAAACAAACTCTGGTTCTCTGCTACGTGTTTGGACAAGTGAACCCATCTCCTCTCCATGCATCTCTTCCTGTTCAGAGCTGTGGAAAGGTTCGTCAATATTTGTGGGTCACAGGTCACCCTATAACAGCATCAGGGTTGGAGTCCACTGAGATCTCATCAGATGTCAAATGCTTGGCTCCCCTGAGGCTCTACTGACCCCACAGACCCATTAGGTGTCATCAGGAGGAAGCTACATTATATAGTAGTGTGTATACAGGTTGACTCTCATTGATGGGATTTCACAAAAACATTGATTTTTAATTCATTCACACTTGTTTTGGACTGACAGACAACTACTTCTGTCTGTACAGCACAACCAGTGTCTGCTGCAGGGATCAAATGGCACAATGCTGCACAACTCAGTGGGTGCTGCCCTGTGAAAGTGTGCATTAGCCTCAGCAGACTAATAGGAGCACTTTGAGGCAAGGTGAACCCCCTCTCCTCCAACACAGCCACCATTCAGTGGAAGGAAAGATGATGCATCTCTGATGTCTTCCTGTGAGGGGAGGGCATTGAAACTCCAAATGACCACACAAATCGTAGCCAACTGAAGCCTCCAGCACAGTTTGACAAGGTACAAAGAGAATGTTTACATACTGGTTGGAGGGGGACAATGTTGCTGTTTTTACAAGAGGTGTGTAGAAGACAGAGAGACAGTCCCTGCAGCAGCAGTGGAGGAGGGCTCCGAGCGAGACCTCAGTATTATTAGCATCAACCTTTACAGGCACACAGTGGGTGAGAGGGTTCAGGGAACGCAGCCAGAGACAGAGCAGAGAAGAGTGATGGATCACTGAACAACAAACTGGGAGAAAGTGGAAGTCAGAAGAGAAAGGCGGAGAGCCGACAAAACCTGGGAGGAAGGAGAGCAGCAACAAATAAAAAGGACAGAGAAAAGAGAGAGAGAGAGAGCAGCGAGGCAGAAGACAGCCTAGCAACTGGAGCAAAGGAAGGATCTCAGCAGAGGCAGGCAGAAGCCACTCCAAACTTTACACGGCAGAGAAAAGAAGAGCAACGGTTCATCAATGGTTAGTCAAAGGCAGAGGGGTCAGAGAATAACCAGGAGAGTGAATGAGAAGGCACTGGCAGCCAGAAGTGAGAGGTACAACTAAGGTGTTCACATTCAGTTGGCTTTGTACAAAAAA